GACACGCCTCGAGCACACATGCATCTGAAGGGAGGGCCAGAAAGAACCAAACAAGAAAAGAGATGGCGAAATGAGAGAAGCATGAGGCGGCTCTAGTACGGGCCCACGCTAGAGCAGCACAACAGCACACAATCTTTCAAACAAAACAGCACACACCACATCAGCACCCACCTACTCCCACGTACCTTGGCACGTGACCGTGTCCTCCAGCAGTTTGAGGCCAGTGGTCGCACCATGGCAGTCACACACTGCCTCTCCATCGATCTGGCTGCACGTGCCACCCAAACACCCCTTGAGGTCGCACTTCTCTGGGGAGGGCGGGGCGGAGGGGAGTCAACAGGAGATACAAGAGTCAACAGCAGCCCACGCTGTCAGCTCGCACGTGTCCGTGTGACGCAGAAGCTAGGAGGGGTGGAGGAGACGCACAAGGACGAGTGTAGGGGGAGGGAACAAAAGCTAGCATAGCAGAAATGGAAAGAACATGAAAAAGACGAAAAGCACCTACAGCTGCACGGTTAGAGACGCACGTACAAGGAGACAAAGTGAACGCACCAATGCATGTGCCGTCCTCCGCCAGCGCGTATCCGTCCTCGCATTCACAGCGCACGTTGGCCAGATTGTCAACATTCCTGGCACACGTGAAATTGGTGCGACACGCCTCGAGCACACATGCATCTGAAGGGAGGGCCAGAAAGAACCAAACAAGAAAAGAGACGGCGAAATGAGAGAAGCATGAGGCGGCTCTAGCACGGGCCCACACTAGAGCAGCACAACAGCACACAATCTTTCAAACAAAACAGCACACACCACATCAGCACCCACCTCACCTACTCCCACGTACCTTGGCACGTGACCGTGTCCTCCAGCAGCTTGAGGCCAGTGGTCGCACCATGGCAGTCACACACTGCCTCTCCATCGATCTGGCTGCACGTGCCACCCAAACACCCTTGATGTCGCACTTGTCTGGGAGGGGCCGGGCGGAGGAGACGTGAAAAGGACGAAAAGGAGGGGGGGGTGGGGCGGGGAGAGTGAACACGAGGTAGCACAGAGAACAGGAAAGTATGAAATAACGAAAAGCAGACACAGACGCGCACACACAGTGACACGGGTGAATTTGTCCACACACAGACGCACCAATGCATTTGTCCCCTGACAGCGCGTATCCCTCCTGGCATTCACAATTCACGTCGGCCAGATTGTCGGGATTTCTGGCACACGTGAAATTGGTGCGACAGGCCGCGACCTCACATGCATCTGAAAGGAGGTCCAGCGAGCGTTGGGCAAGGGACGAGAGGGCAGGACGCAGAATTAGCGAAGCATGAGGCGGCTCTAAGTACGGGGCACAGTAGCAAACAGCAGGGGCACACACTAGAGCAGCACAACAGCACACAGCACAACCAGCACACAGCAACAGCACACAGCAACAGCACACAGCAACAGCACACAGCACAACAGCACAGTCCTTATTGGGCACCTACCCTTGCACGTCTTGGTGTCTTCCAGCAGCACGAGGCCAATGGTATTGTTGCAATGACAGACTGCCGCCCCAGCAGCGTCCTTGGTGCACGTGCCGTCACACGCCTTGTTCGCGCACGTGTCTGGGAGGGGAGGGAGCAGGGAGGAAGACGAATTTATGCGAGGGGAAAGAGAGCAAGGAGGTGAGAATGGAAAGGAAGCAGCTGGTTTCCACGCGACCTCAAGCACCACGCATTACCTCAACAGCTCAGCGGCACAGCAGCACTCAGCAGTCAACAGCACAGCGGCACGTGAGTAGGGGTCATGTTGTGTATCCAGTTGCACACACACGAGTCGCCAACTTGTCCTCCTTTCTGGTCGACTCAATAGTTGCACTGCACTCACCAATGCAGACGCCATCGGGGGTCATGACGTATCCCCAGTTGCACACACACTTGGCCAACGAGTCCTCCTCCTTCACGCACGTGGCATGCGGGTCACACACCAAGATCGCGCACGAGTCTGCGGGGTTAGAGGGAAGGGAAGGCGGGGGATGGGGTGTGGAAAAGAGATGAGGTGACATGCGCAGCGATGAGGTGAAACGGCGTGGATAGGAGATGTGCACAGGGCCAGGGGGCCAGGGGGCAAGAATGGGAAAGAACCAGGGCAGGGGGCCAGCAGGAACACTCTAAATATTAAACCCTTGACCCTGAACCCTCACGCTGCAGCTAGGCAAGGAAAGGGACAGGCGGCGTTGCGGCACTCACGGGCGCAGGAGGCGTTGGGCAGCAGCTGGAAGCCCTTGAGGCACACGCAGTTGGCCCAGCCAGCCTCGTCCTTGAGGCACTTGGAGTTGGTGCCGCAGTTGCGGATTGCGCAGGTGTCTGGTACAGGCAGGCACGTGGAGGGCGCAGGCAGGCACGTGGAGGGTGCAGGCAGGCACGTGGGGGGGCGCAGGCAGTCATGGAGGCAGAACAAAGAAGGGGGAGAGGAGAGAGAGTAAAGGCGAAACCCTACGAGGAACGTAACAGGCATGATGCGCACATAAGAAAGCACGTTGAACAGAATGCAAGAACGCAGGCAAGGGGAGAGAATGAAAGAGAGCGCGCCAGGTAGAGCAGCAGAGGCCACCCACCAGCGCAGTTGCCTGACGCATCCTGTTGTGCCCCCATTTGCAGGGCGTGGTCGACGGCAGGCGGATGGCGGCAGCCATGGTCGCACAGGCGGAGAGGACGAGGGCCACGAGCGCCGCAGCGAGCACCAGACGACCCATGACGATGGCACGATGGTGATGACGTCACGAGCTGAGATTGTACCCTCGGAGGTATCACGTGGAGATGACCCCTTGACAGCAGCAGAAGCAGCAACAGCAGGAGATAGCGAGACGGAGCCGCAGCAGAACTAGGTGCGCGTGTGGTTGGAGTCGTAAGGGTCAGCGGAGTTCTCGGGGAGCACGTGCAGTACTAGTACTGTGGTGGTTTGCAAGAAAGGGTGCAAAGGCTGAGAGGCTCTCAAAGCGAAGGCTGTGGTGAAGGAGAGGCCGAGAGGGGGATTAAATACCTCACGGACCCCTCCGTGAGAGGGAGACTCGCGCGGTGGGAAGGCCTGCGGGGGGGAGCTCAGCGCAACGTCCCCCCGGCGGAGGAATCCGCGGGCGAATGAGAGTCCCCCTCCAGAAAAAAACGCTTGACCCCCTTGACTACCATCGTGCGCGGCATCCGCGCTTATGTCCTAGGAGAAAGGGTTTCAAAGTGCCTCGTGAGAGCCTTTCCGCTCAGAGTGGGCCGTGAGTGGGTTGGAGTGGGCTGGAGTGGGCTGGAGTGGGCTGGCGAGAAGGAAAGGAGTGGGCTGCAGGCGGAAGGAGTGGGGGTGGCACGAGAGCGGCACTGCCAGTAATGCGCGTTGGGAGCTTGCGTGGCCAGCGAGGCGGGTTTGGGAAAGCCATGGCCACTCAAGAAGCGTCGTGAGGTGACGACCCGACCCGAGTCCCGACCCGACCCGACTCGAATCCCGATGCCGACTCATCCTAAATACTCAACCCTAATTCGCTGTCGGCTCGCCAGCAGAGCAGACGAGAACCGTTGGCCGCCAGCGGACCATCGAAGGAGGCAGCGCCGCAAAATGGGACGAGAATAGGACGAGGATGGCACAGGCGCGAACGAGCATTTTGTGCGGCGGACACGGGTGCGAGTCGGACTATTTCACAAGATGCAATTGGCAGAAACGGCTGCATGACTACAGAGATGGGATCTTCCGAGCAGACTACAGCGGTGTGGTGCGCAACCACTAAGGAGGGGTCAACTCAGGTCTCTCGCCTTGTCACGCGGCGGCGAGTGCTCTAATTCGGCGAGAGCCCGGCCAAAAAGAACCGCTTGCGAGGGATGGACGAGGCTATATAGCCAAAAGGCCCGCTTGTGAAAAGCAGAACTGGCTCTGAAGCCAAAATAGATATTCTAGCATTCATCGTTTCTCCGCTCCTACTTAGCTGCACTAACAAGATCATTGAGGTGCAGCTGAGCTGAGCCGCCTGATGCGACAAGCATTCCCCGAGAGAGGGGAACAATCCAGCGCGGGAAAGAAATCGGCGCGGGACAAAAACGTGGCGCGAAAGCGAACCTAGCGAAGGAACGACCAACCCTGGAATTTATCGTGCCATTTGAGCAAGTCCCTGACCGACGTGCGGCGTGGCGTGTGCGGGCAAGAACAGGAAAAGAGCTCTCTGCTGCGATGCGTGCGCTAGGTGGGGGGGAGAACGTGCAGGGAGGACTCTTGCGATGTGAAGGGCAGGGGGTGCTTTGGCTGAAGGGGAAAGGCAGAGGGAATTGGAGTTACAGTAGTTACTGTACCTAGTCAAGGGTTTTGGCTTGCCTCGGCTCTGACAACGCAGCGGCGCATGCTGATGCGGTTGATGACGAGGCGGTGAAGGAGGCTAGGACAGGCAACAGCGGTGGGCGTGGCCTGAGGAAATACGAGAGAAATGATATTTAATCTACTGTGCAAGCGAGCGCGAGACACGGGAGGAAACTTCACGCCTAGGGTGAGACAAGGCTCCACCTTGCCTCATTTGGACGGAGTCGTTTGGGCCGTGGTGGATTGACCCTACCCCGGGACAGGCAGAAATCTGTTTGCGACGGAACCGTCACTTAGCAAATGGAAACTAGCTTCACTGAGAACACTTGCAACACTCGTCACTCGCATTTTGCCAGGCGGAATTTTAACAGTCTTCCGTTCTGCTACCGGGAATAACTGAAAACCCTTCACCCTTATGACAACACGCGAAAGAGCGCGAGAAATTGCGGAGGAACTGTGGTTTTGTCTGCTTTCGCCCCCCAAAAACCTGCTTGCTAGTACATGGGGGGTGTTTCTTCTGTATTGGAGCAGCTTCTGCTGCTGACTCAGCAGTGCTGACCTGAAGCGATGGAGGAAAAGCAAAAAGCATCTGGGAAATGGGCAACTCGCTGAGCTGTCTGCCGTGTACGTATACCTTATCTTGTGTGATGGCGTCAGAGAATGCCTGTCTGACGTGGACATACGAGGTGATACTGTAACCAAACCATGCCCGTGCTGTGTATTGTCCGAGCCAGTTATTTCGTGCGTCACCACCAGGCCTCTTGCTAAGGACCCGTTACCTTGATAAAAAAACGAAGGTTCGGCGGTGTAGTTCGATTTGCAATATAGATAATGACGATTGCCGGCTACATCGATATAGCAAAGCGATTTTACAGATCGCGGCGATAGCCGATTTGCTCGCGGCGCGCGATTTTACAGATCCGCTCTCGATGGTTCGATTTGCTCGCGGCGCGCGATCCCCCAAAATCGACAGTGCTTTTGCAGCCAACCTTTCACCACAGTAAACGATATTCGCAACACATTGGGCAACCCAAATGAACGTCCGCGGTACGAGTGGTGGATGGTCAAGGCGCCTCGGGTTGTCCCGCTTTTGATTTTCACGAGAATCTAAGCGAATTTGCGAACTCGCAGCCTGTTGCACAATCTGGCGCACTCGCGATCGGTACTTATGACAAGCGCATAAGTGTTGGTCAATCGATCGTCGACTGGCTTAACCAATGTGACACATCGATTGCCGAAATGGGTTGAACGGCGGGGCATTGCAGATTTAATATTCACAACTATCCGTCGCTCGCTTGCGTTGTCGTCACGTGGCGCTGACGTCGCTTGCGTTTGATGTGCGTTCGCACGAAATTCGTCTGTTGTAATAGGCGACTCCTGACGCGTCACACCACGTGCATGGCGAAGACTCATGTTTTCTTCTTTCGACATGGCGAGCTCCAGGGAAATGGCCTCCATCTTTGCCATCATTTTGCCGACCTTCGTCGTCAGCACCATCGCACTCGATGCTGCCTCTGACAGCTCAACGATCTGCTAAGGAGTCATATTTCTAGTACAACGGCGAGGATGGCTATTGACCATGAATTGCCCTAACTAGCTAACGCCATTAAAGGCACTACGGGCACCTGCACTGTTAGAGACGTGGAGCGCACACGACAAAGTCCGCGGAACTGAAAATGTTCCGGCACGACCACTGGACAACTCCTGTCTCTTGACGTGCCAGGTCCTCTAAAAACCACCTCATTACGGAAGCCTAAATGGGCAGGAACGTAGCTCTGATACCAGCTATTATGATAATCTCTGGATAGGAGTTGAGTAATGCAATAGAGAGGTAGTGATTAAAGTGTGTCGAGTACACATGAGGCACAGAGCCAAATACAAGCACAGCTAGCCTAGGAAGGGGGCCTCGATGAGGACAGCGAAACACACGCGAGGTGGTTTGGGCACATCAGGGCTCGAAAGTGTCGGACGCGGTGCCGCGTGTAGGCTTGGGGGTCTCGAACATAGTTCGGACTTGAGTTTCCGAGCCGAGCCTGGACTTCCAAAAGTCAGGGCTGTACTCGGTGTGATTTTCCTTACATTCACAATGCCCATACATACATTTCTCCACGTCCTGTTTCATCTGGTAAAATGTCAACACTAGTTTCAACGGCATAGTTGTCAACAAACATATTGTTCTGTCTACACATATCTAGTTAGTTTAGATATGTTTGTTATAGCCTAGCTAGGTCAGTTCTTAGAGGGGACAACATTTTTGTACTTGTATCTCCCCTCCCCTCTTCCTAGTCACACTTTTCCCGCTACTCTAACATGGTATTGAGCTAGGTTATATATTTTCTTCTCCGCCATTACTCACGCTTCCGCCATTACTGTAGCTTATTTTTCTTCGCGCATCTGCCCCTCTCGATTTCGCACACCTCCTGCCCCCCAATTTTGCGCTCCGTAGCCTCGACTCCTTTCCCCCTAGTGTTCGCGCTGTTTCGTACAGCAGCAGCAGGCCGACAAGCCAGCCAGCACGCTAACCAGCGTGCTAACCAGCATGCTAACCAGCGCGCTAACCAGCATGCTAGCCAGCACGCCAGCCAACACGCCGGCCAGCACACTAGCCAGCACGCCCGCCAGCGTGCTCGCCAGCACGCCAGCCAGCACACTAGCCAGCACGTCAGCCAATGCGCCAGCTAGCTCGCCAGCCCCGTTAGCCAGCGCGCCGCCAGCAGTTCTAGCCAGCTCGCCGCCAGCAGCGCCAGCCAGCTAGCCGCCAGCTCGCCACCAGCACCTGTTGCCAGCTACTCGCCAGCAGCGCCTGCCAGCTTGTCACTGGTCAGCTCGCTGCTGCGGCAGCCACTGCTGCCAGCTAGTCGCCAGACAGCCGCCACTGCTGCTGCCTGGGCCACTGCCGCTACCGCCACTACTGCTGCAACTGCCACTGCCACCACTACTGCTGCCACTGCCGCTGCAGCCACTGCAACTGCCGCAACCGCTGAAGCCACTGTCGCAACCCCTGCAACCATTGCCGCAACCGCTGCAGCCATTGTTGCAACTTCTGCAGCCACTGCCGCTGCCGCAGTCGCCGCTGCCACTGCAGCCACTGCCACTGCTGCCACTGCTGCTGCAGCAACCCACACTACCGCCACTGCCACTGCCACTGCTACCTCTGGCGCTGCAGCTGCGCTGCTGCTCTGCCACTGTTGCAGCCACTACCGCCACTGCCGCTGCTGCCTCTGCCGCTGCAGCTGCGCTGCCGCCGCTACCACTCCTGCAGCTGCTACCGCCACTGCCGGTGCTGCCACTGCAGCTGCCGCCACTTGCCGCTGCCGCCTCTGCCGCTGCAGCCACCAGCTGCAGCCGGCACTACTGCCACTGCCCGTGCAGCCGCCGCTGCCCTTACAACCGCCACTGCCACTGCTGCCATTGCGGCCGTTACTGCCGCCGCTGCCCTTGCAGCCGCCACTGCCGCAGCTGCTGCAGCCCCTGCCACTGCTGCCACTGCCGCTGCTGCTGCAACTGCCAGCTGCAGCCGCCACTGCCGCCGCTGCCCTTGCAGCTGCTGCTGCCGCCGCTGCCCTTGCAGCCGCCGCTGCCACTCCTGTCGCCACTGCTGTTGCCAACCATCAGCTTAATCCTCCACCAGCCTGGCCATCAGCAGCCAGCACCAGTTGCCAGCCACCAGCAGCCGACCGCCGGCAACCAGCCGCCGAACCCCAGCTGTCAGCTGCCAGCTGCCACCACTCGCGGCCAGCCGCCAACCACCAGCCGCCGCGGCAGTCGGCCGCCAGCCGCCAGTCGCCAGTCGGCCGCCAGCCTCGTGAGTCCCCTGCGACTTGACGACTGTCATTTGCCCTGTGCCACCAGTCCTAGTGACTCCTAGCTAGCTCCGTGGCGTGCTGCTCCTAGTAGCTCCTCTTGCGCGTACTTCCTCCTCGTTTGCTCCCTACTCCTCTTTGCAGCTCCTAGCCTCCTGCCAGCCGCTCACAAGCCGCTGTCCACCGATCCCAGCTTTTTTGCCTCTTGCTACCAGCCCGCCGCCAGCTAGCGCCACTGCCGTCTTACTGTCACTCGCTTCTGCTACCGTCAGCCTACCGCTAGTCGCTGCTACTACTAGCCTCCTGCTCGCTGCCACTGCTCCGGCCACAGCCGCTACTGCTACTACCTCCGCTAGTGCTCTTGTAGCACCTAGTGCCTCCCACTAGTCTTTCTCCTAATTTCTAGAGTTCCTCGATGCCTCTCCTCTCGGCATGATGGCCTCGTTTGGGTCAGTCCCTTGGCCAGATCGCTAGGCACTTCCATCCACTCTCCAATTTCTCGCTTACCATCTACAGCTGGTGAGCCCGCACGTGGACTGCATGCTCCTAGAGGATCACACTAGTTACCTCCTTGGCTTTTGGCTCCATGACCTCGCTGTAAGCTTCCGGGCTCTCTAGCCAGCGCTGCTGCCATAGCAACAGTAGCAACAGCAGCGGGGCAGCAGCCGCAGTGGGGGCTTGGGGGTGCTGGGCGAGGTGGAGGCTTTGGAGGTGCGGCCACTGGGCCAGTGTGGTTTCTCTAGAGGAGCGGGGCCTTGGGGCCTAGGAATCTAGGTCCCAACACTCTGTCTAGTCTAGGAGCCTCTACTACATGTCCCCTAGGCTCCTCCCCTGCCCCTCCTGCAGCGCCCCTCTCCTTTGTCCTTGACTCGTGCGCGTCTCATTGCTTCTTTAGAGACAACTCTTCTCTCACCCCGTTTCCTGCGCCTGTCCGCGTCGCATTAACAGACTCCTCCACCACACCTGTCGCACCTAGCACCATTACTCTCCCTTGTCCAGCTGTCCCCTCCGGCTCCCTCACAGGTCTACACATCCCCTCGTTTGCCAGGAACCTAGTGGGTGTTAGTCAGCAGGACCGAGGTCCATGGTCTTAGTTAGGAGCGCTAATTTCTAGTCGTCGTTGACGACTTCTCGCGCTCCACGGCAGTGTTCCCATTGGAGTGGAAGGCCGACATGCCTAACTTTCTCCTCCCGTGGCTTTGTACTGTTCGCACCCACCACCGCCTGCCTGTAGGTCGCTTACACTCTAACCGTGGTGGCGAGTTCACCTCTGGCACTCTAGGACAGTTACGTCATG